TTTACAGTATGCTGCTATTTAATATAGTCATTTAAAATCATCTCAAGGGCCACTGGAATGCCCCCGGGCCTTGACTTTGACACAGGAGTGTAGATAAAGCTGTGTGTGCACATTTTTACTCGCATAATCATTTCCTCTATAAACATATTTAGAAAAAGTTCCTGATAAGACTCATTGTAATATGTGCTTGGAACCTGCCAACAGTGATTTTCAGCAATTTGGTTTAGATAGCAATCACCAATCAATGTGTCTGGTTCATGAATCTATCTTCTTACTCCCAAAATATTGCTCTGCTTACAAATAATTAATGTAAAAAAACTAAATGGTAGAAGAAAGCGTATCTTAAATCAATGACAAATTGATTAGCTGAGAAGAAAGCCCTAAAGAGCTGGTAATAAAATAGATGACAAAGTTCTGTCCTGGGCTGGTCCTAATGTCTCTCCACTGCTGTTTACATCTACAGCAAGTACTTTCTACATGTCAGTTTCATCTGTCACCATCCTCTGCCCCTGTCCCACTTTAGAGGTGAGCCGACCTGTGATGAGGGCCCCTCGTACCCCGCCTGTCCCGTGTCCCATGGTGCAGTGGGGCCCATTGGACAGAAGCCAGAACCTGTCCCCGCACTCATTGCTCATTATTCTCATTACCTCGCCTCAAATCAGCGAGAGACCGGCCGCTGGGATCTGTCCACAGCTCATATAGGTCCTCGCTCATTAGTGAGTTTGCCAACTACAGACTTCAACAAAAAGAAGTCCAGCGCTCCACGAAGGTGAGCTGGAAATGTGTGAACTTCGCAAGCAAGGAGATCAACTGTGTTTCAGTCTGAACAATGAAAAACTGCTCTATCAAATGTGGCTTTGGGAAAACGTCAGTCAAGAATGTTGGATAATTACACAGAGTTTCAAAATAATTAAAATGCGGGATTTGTACAGAAAGGTCACACACTTTGTTTTGTTTGTTTGTTTGTCACATCCTGCTCAGTTCCCACATGTCATATTTAAACACCAAAATGTATTCATGATATTTTTGTAAAGTAAACATATTCTGAATGTTTTCTCTCTACAGGTTTTCAGTTATGGTAATATTATTGTATTACAAATGCATCTGATGGTACTCATTCAAAGAGTGGGTTCAGTTTGAGCAAATGGATGAGTGAAATGCCACATATTATACAGTGCTAAATATATTATCATTTGAAGAAACATTAGAACTTTTTAAGCCAGTTCTTATAGAGATTGTTACGGCAGGAAACTACAGTATAATCAGTATTAAATGTGGAAAGGCGACACACAAAATAGTTTTAGATTTTTTCCCAGTCCATTGAAATTGCTTCTATAAAGATGGAAGAAATTCAATATAATGTGCACATATAATTTTCCTGCTTTATAAAACCGGGGCTGTAAAAAACCTACAAAAACAGTAGTCCAGTAATCAGGCAAAACACATCTCAATTGCCCCTGGCCTTGGGTGGCTTGGCAGGTTACGGAGGCAGTTGTGGCTTTGCTGAGACCAATGAAAGGACTAAGTTGTATGCAGATTGCTCTAGTGTTGGGCTAAAACCCAGAGGCGGTAAGCTGTTTTATTCCACTAACAACAGCAGATCAAACCACAATGAGCTCTGAATAGACGTGTGGTGCAAGCGGGGATAAAGCGAATCTGAGACGCGAGTCAAAAAAGGCTGTAGCAACAAAGGGCACGAGCGACGGTGAACCTCTGCCCCATAGCGATGCAGGCAGAGGCACTGAAGGAGCGGACGTGTGTTTACGGAGCCCTATGGGACGTCCCGGCTGCAGCACTGACCACATAATATGAGTAAGTGCACACCGCTGCTCGAAATGACAAGCACATGCAGACGACGGGCGACGGAAACAATGATGGAGCTTCAGGCTAAGAACGTCTGAAGAGGTGAGACTGAGGTTAAGTGATAGGTACAGTTCTATGTGGAGGATGGACTCAAAGCTCCACCAAAAGCTGATTTACTGCCACACTGTACGGAGACACATGAAAAACAATTCAAACAGTTTCCCTTAAGACTATGGGCGTTCATTCTTCTGAATTACTTATTGCGGCTCAGACATAACAAAAATCTTGGCTGCCAAAATGATGATGGAAGCCCCCTCACTCATTGTCTCAGCATCAGAAGGCTGCATAGGAACGGGGGATAACAGGGACTAGTTAATTATATCTTGTTATTAATTATATCATTTTAATTATTAGTATGTCAGCTGCTATACTTCAGCTGCCACACTGGTGTAATCAAATAGCACAACTGACAAACATTTTAAAAGTGACCTCAATTTTGACTCAATCTTGAACAATATTCATGTGATTCTATAGTACACAATGTCACAGATTGCAGTTAATAAGTTATCTCTATTTATATGGCGCCTTTCACAGACCAGAGTCACAGAGCGCTTTTCAACTGTGGTGGGCATTTGTCACTCCTCACAGAGATGGGAGCAAGGTCGCCTACAGGAGACGCATGCCAGACCTATTGTACATGTTTTTAGTGGTAGAGGAAACCGGAGCACATGGGGAGAACATGCAAACTCCACTCAGAAAGGGTTTGAATCCCGGTTGGAACAGGGCCTTGCTGAGAAGCTTGAGTGCTATCCACTCAGCAAATGAATCAATGTCACGTGAAGCCTCTTTGAGTGTGCAAACAGCACTATCAATCCATTATCATTATGACTGCATTGGAAAGGTCCAGTTTAGTCCAATTTATTAGTCCTTTAATGCATATAAGATACAGTACAGGGGACCAGCGAAATTAAATGGAGAGCTAATGGGAATCCTAATGAAACAATACACGATACAAGCCTATAACTTGGGTTGACACATTGACAAGTGGCCAAAACTATATATCAAATAACCAAGCAGGGTTTGTCATAATTATAGATATGTACATTCCAAATATTGTAAATGAATAGTGACACATTTCCCCAATACGTCTTTTAAATGTGCTCTGATATAAAAACCTGACAACAGACAAGAAGGCTTTCATATTTGTGTTAACATAATCACCCCACCAACAATGGGTATTGTAATAGTCACCGCCTGTGTGTCAATGGGAAGGATTGCACATAATACTGGATGAATTGATCTGAAATTTGGCGTTTACACGGGATGTGATGATAGAAAGACTCGTGTGCATGTTCTAGTTCATTTCAATCTTAAAACGGCCAGTAACACTTTGCTTTTGTCCCCTCCCCATTCACATCTCCAGGTAAAAGGCCGTGTTAGTGGACAGTCTCACATTACCCAGAAGGCCCTTGACTGCAGCTCCACAGGGAACCATGTCCACGTACAAAAACAAGCTCATTTCACTTCAAAGACTCCGACATCTTCTACAGATTGACTTTAGGCTAAACACTTTCCACTCAACAGCCATTTTCCTGTGTTTACTACAGCAGGGTGCAACTCATTTAACATGGAATTGGGCCCCAAATTGTTACACTTTTTACATTGACGGGATACAGTAAAACGGCAGAAACAGGCGTCTCAGCACCATACCTCTATTGTTTTCAGCTGGTGTGTCTGGTGCAGGCGGCAGTAGGTGTGCGCTGCAGAGGTTTAACAACGACAGCAAATTACCATTTTTTTCCAAGAGTTTTTTTGCAGCGGAGAAGCTTGTTAGCGTCATGGGTGGCAGCTCAAAGTGGCATGTGGAACCAATATCCCGGCAGCAGCAGACCGCCCCCCCCTCTCCACACCACTATCGTCTTATAACAACAAGAAATATGTGTGAAGAGCAAACCCTGTCCATCTGCGACTGCGATTTCTGTTACGGCTTAGAGTGAACATCTATTGGATTATGTGCTCGCTGATGGTTTAAACAGACCGTTACAATATGAGTGCAGTGGAAAACCTGTCTGCCAACAGTTTGACACATTCCATCAACACGTGAGCAGTAGCACCTCATTATAATTTAGCTTGAGGTATGAAAGTTTACATTCAAACTATAACAAAGGTTTATTATTACATAGTAGTTGCATTTAATGGTGTGAATGTAATGGAAGTGAATGTAAACTTGCAAAATGATCTTGTTGATACAGTATAGACGGGTTATTTTGTATGAAATAAACGTAAAAGGGATATGATGCGTAAAAGCAGAGCACAGCTTTGTTGGGTTCCAGTCAACAAAAGACATGTTTGGTCGACTAAAGGCCTGTCCTGTCTACTGATTGATCAAACTAAAAGGGGGCGTGGCCAAAGCTCTCAAAACTATTACGAACCTAATACAATCCAAGCATAAAGAACAATAAAACTATGCAACAATTAATACAACGGATGATCATATTGTGACAATCTAATTTTGCTGTTTTCCAATAGAATTTCTTGAAATTCAAATAAAACTATTTGTTGATTTGTTTTGAACTAATGAATCAAAGTAAATGACAAAGATCCGCAGTGCTATGTTTGTTGTTCCTTGTGCAGTGACACACTACATGTGAATGTTGGCAGCTCCTCAGGCTGCATATCTTGTCCTGGTGAGAGGAGCTCACCTAATGAACCTCTTTGAGTGATTACGTGACCTTTTCAACATTAGTCTGTGATATGAGTCTGAATCCTCCTCCTGCTCAAAGCCTCTGAAAAAACTAAAAGTGAAACTAGCACAATAAAAGCTGGCTTACTTGTTCCCATACTTGTGAAACATGCAGTCTGATTCATTGGTTTGCTTGTTTTCAAATGCATGTACTATTTGGCCTCTATCACATCTTTAGAGAAGCTTTTTAAGACCGCAAAAACCAAACAAAGAATCGCTCTTGCTCAGCCAATCAGCTGCCAGCCCAAAACGTCAAAAAGTGACTCACAGGACTAGTAAGTATGCAAACGATAAAAATGTTATTTGTTTGTTTGTTGGGACAACCAAAATGTATAATCTATCAAACATAAAAGTGAGGTACCTCAAACTTAAGGCATCACCATATATAAGTAAAACTAGTAATATTATGTTAAATAGTTACAATAGCTCAAAAATGTGATTAAAAGTTACTCACAGCTTTTCCAGAGCAGTCAGTCCAATGAAAGATCCATTCCTCAGAACTCTGATTTTGTTGTGACTCAAGACACTGCAAGACAATGATAGAAATAAACATTAACAAACAACGTGCACATGTCGTCCATCAGTCACACATGGGTCACATCAGTACAGCCTGACCAACACACATTAGACTAACATGTTTCCAGTTAATGTTAAAGACAGACTGGATCTGCAGATTAGGAGATGAGCTGTAATCACCGTCATCATTTTGGACGTTATTTTCATCAAAGGGGCAATTTTTCACTTCAAACACTCAGCGGCACATCGCAGGAGATCAGGCCATCAGTCTTTCCTGCTCCAATTCAGTTTGGACGGGTGGCTCCAGGGGAAACTTAGGGTTTTAGTCCAAAAAGGTCACAACAACGAAAACTAACAAAGACTTTTTCAAAGCGAAGTTGGACATCACGACAATACAGAAATGGTTAGAATTCATTTATTTTGAAGAATCTGTAATATTTAAAAATGACATAATACTTTTATCAAGTATATTTGTTTGAGTAATCAATTGAATGTAATTGCTGATACTCTGAATATTATATATTTGAGTTGGGCAGTGAATCAATGTGGGTTACCTTTCAGTATAACACATTGTACTATGTAATAAAATACATCTAATATTTTCTCGACCTCATACAGTTTGGATCACTACTTTTCATATGCATGTATTTTTAGCCCCGTTCAGCTTTTTCAGACAGAAAAGGGAAAAAAATCACAAAAAAGCAAAAGATGACACGTTTTAATCATCCAACATGATTTAGTCAAACTTTAACATTTTATTATCACAAGACTCTTTCTGTTGGGAAATAAACATGTATTGAATAAATCGAGAGTTAGATACTCAAGCTTTAATGAACAACTAACTGTAAATACGGCACAGACACTGGGAGAACATGTAAATGCATACAGAATTCCCTGTGCTGCCTGGGAGTCAACCACTGAAACGTCTACACAGTATAAGCATTTTAGGCAGACCTTCAAATGAATGGTTTTCCTATGGGAGGGACGTTCACACCATATTTGGTTCAGAGCAGAAAGTGTTGTGTCTAATATAATTCACCGAGTTCAAGGTGCCTCCGCTGTGCCCCTGGTGACAAGCTGCCCCTCCCTCCCTCATTCAGACTAATGGGCTGTTTATTAAGGCTGTTTTTAATCCTGAAACTCTTAAACAGAGGGCGCAGACTGTGAGATTTACAGATTCAGCAGCAGTCGCCTCGCTCTTTCCTGCCACATCAATAAAAACACTTTTCTGTTTTCGCCTATAAGCTCTCTCACCAGATGTGCGAGGACAAGGTGTAAAGTTAAAACCTCCACATAGACACATCTTTCATAGGCAAAAGACAGAACCTATAGTCAACTGTTGACAGAGAGCAGTCAGTTCCTTCCATTATGTGCTAAAATTAGAAACCGGATTTTTCAACTTGCCTGCAATCAAGATGTGGGACCTGCTTCAATGATAATAGCTGTAAGTGAATGCAGGCCACGTCTATTTACATTATATAGGCAGTAAGCCAGAGTACGGGAAATAGGCCAGTGAAAATACTGGCTTATACAACCCAGATAAATATATAATGAAAAAACAATAACAAAACAAAACCTATGCAGCCCTTGACTTACTGTACATAGTGCTGAACTGAATCACTCAACTTTTCCGTATAGGAGCAATTGCAGCAGCTCTTCTGTATGTTTACATGCTTTTTAATGACTATGATTGTAAGTTTGATGGGGTCTGTGTCTCAAACCTCGTGTCCTTGATGAGAGGAGTGCCCCAGGGCTCAATACCGGGCCCCTTTTCTGTTCGATATCTACAGTACATGTTGCCATTGGGTCAATTCAGTTAGATTCAATTCAATTTATTTTGTCTCACCCAAAACCACAACATTGTCCCAGAAATGTTCAATTCACCAACAACAGATTACAGTATGAAAGATTTTGAACACAAAGATTTACAATAATATACCACACAAGAGTCATTGGTTTGTAGGGTAGCATGCTAAATATTTTGGACTGATTTAGGTGAATTTAGACTAGAGGATTCTCTAAATACTAGTGATAGTCTGTAACTCTAAATGAATTCCAAATTTTAAGAATTGTATTAAATTGACCTCCTGGTCTTAAATGTTGATATAAAATAAGTAATTTTATTAATTCTAATATTACGGGTAAGTCCCGCCTTCCCTTCTCTTAGCTATAGCTCAGAATCCACGATGCCGTCCACGTTAACCAATCGAGTCATGCCAAGGGCTGTCAATCATCAGCGCTGATACTCGTAGCTGCGCGCATGCTCAGTTGTTTGTTTTTGCGGAGCCTCCGAATCAAGCCTCTATGAGGCTCTGAAACAACATGAAAACTGAACAAAGAATTCTGAACATCCGTGCTGAGTTACCCATTTATATACTGAACCTGTATCCATGATCAGATCCTCTGCAGATGTGTCCTATAATGTGCAAATAATGATAATAGCTTCTTCCGGGTTTGCCGCGATCGCTTTTTTTGTGCACACTATTTTTTTCATGAAAACGTTAACAAATAATTCTGAAAACCTCCGTGCATGTGTATTAATAATGTATATGTGTAATGCGTCCTCTGATTAACATTTAAATGTGTTACAGAAACGTAGGTGTAGACCAATCAGAAAGGAGGTGGACGGAGCTTGCGTTGTTTTTTTTAAATCAAGTACCTCTCTATCTCTCTCTTTCTGACAAACTCCAGACAATCACTTTAATGGTCTTTTAACATGTTTTGAAAAGCACTTAATCTACTGTGTTTGGAATATTCCATACCATAGCCTTAACATACTGTATACGATCTACATTGTAGATAAGCCAGTGATTACATCTGTAATCAAACAAAGTACATTACAAGAAAAGGCATTAGCCAACTTGAGGGTAGCAGATCAGAACAGTTGCACAACGAAAACAGCATTCAATTAAACAATAATGTACTCAGTATTTGTTGGACTTCCAAAAATATCACAAACTTTTAATGAGCACCCGGCTCAGTTTCCAAAAGCAACAGCAGAAATGTAACGGAGCGTTTGTCTTGTTCACAAATCACCACTCTGCACCAATAAAACAGACAACGAGCACTGAGTCAAGATGTTTGTACTATTAGTGATCATGTCCCTGGTGCGTAGCCCTGGTTTGAACCTCTGACTCCAGCCTGAGGTTTCACTCCCCCTGCCCTCCTCACAACGGCCCATAACAAGAGACAGACTCGAGATGAAAGTAAAGACCCGGAACTGTTCCAATAACTCAGAGCAGAGAGGAGAAAGTCACTGGCAAAGATACAACAAGATTAATACAAATCAGACTGCTAGACTTGTAACTCTACACAAACAAGCATACAACTGGCCCATGCTGGGTTTCAACTGGCAATTGCTTTTTTGAGATTTCAATGATTTTTCATTGTGCTTGTCTTATCATGCATGTGAATAAAAATGACCGAAATGACAAAAATGCACTTGTTTGTTGAAGAGCTACTCATTTACATTTGGTGGTGACCCCTCCGACCACCACTGCATTTACTCCCTCCTCAAATTCAAACCATGCTGCAAATTTTGGAATGGAAAAAAAACAAAAAATAATTTATTGTGCAGGATAATCATGAAAAATAAAATCAGACAAAATAAATATACATTTTGAAAGTAAAAACATCCCAAAATTGTCGTCACATGCTGTCTGCAAGCGGTGGGCTGTGTTTTTATAAAAAAAAATATAGCATCTTTTTCTCAAGTATAGTTTGTCACATCAGAGCAATTATCTGTTTATGTTGAAGTCCAGGGTCATCTTAAAAGCAGATTATGTCTAGGTCATTAAGAAATTCTGCATTGGTGGCATTTTCATAACCAGAACAATCCTACTGACTCTGAAAAAAACTTTTCAGAATCATTTTTTTCAGCCCTGGTCCCAGAGAGAGGGATGAACATTGGAAGAACATGTTCTTAGTGGAAGGGGAAACTGTAGCACCTGAAGGAAATCAACACCAACAACTCCCCACTCTGAAAGGCCCTGTCTGGAGGCGGGAGAGAGCCCTCCTTGCTGAAAAGCGACAGTGCTAACCACTACTATAATTATTATTTATATTGTAATCATACAATTCTATGGACTAAAACACACACCTTCAATCCATCCATTTCCATTCCCTTAATCTATTTATGGAGGGGCTGCCAACGGAGCCACGGGCAAAAATATACACTGTCATGTCAAATGCATTCTATTAAAAATAAGATTGAGAATAGATATGAGTATAAACTTTACTGTGGATATAATAATGGCTTTTATTTCTTACACATGATCCAGAGTTTCTGTATAATTATAATTATATGAATAGGACCAAATTCCTAATGCAATTCGCTTCTTTGAGCTCCTTAATCAGATGGCAGACAGACTTGATGATATTTCTATAAGCAAACTACTGTTCTCTTTGGCAAGACACTACACTAATGCACTGCAGACAGTATGGTCTGTATCTGTGATCGCTACATTGAGCATCTCTCACTCACTTAACCCTTTCAGACACAAAGAGTCTCTCTCAGATCCCTGCACGCTAATTGAATCCATGTCATCAATGGAAAAACCCAGGGCCACATGTCACGCTGCAGGATCCCAGCGAGCCGTTTCATCTAATTCATTTACATGTGCATCAAAAGACAGCGTCCCAAGAGCCCGTCATGGAGGTGCACACGTGGCCACTGCGACAGAAGACATGCTGTCCTCTGCAGTTAGATAAAAGCACCATCATGACCGAGGAGAGTTTAAATTGTTATTTAGACATTATAATGTTTGAACACAATAACGTTGGTTAAAGATGACTCAATATAGTCTAGTATGCTGCAAAAGGATGTGGGGCGACAGTAGCTCAGTTGGTCGAGCACTGGTCTTTGGACCTAATGGTCGTGCCCACCACAACCCATGTCACCTGCTCCCATGTCTGCTGTCATTGTGTCCCTGGGCAAGACACTTAACCTCACCTTGCCTGAAGCCCCCACTGGAAGACCAAGGCCATCTCGTTCATGACGGAGAAGTCATC